CCCAGAACACACCAAAAGGATCCAGATCGTGCCATGACAAGAAATGCAAAACCTGCCAACACATCTCCACCACCCCCACTATTACTACACCCCACAACAGAGCCATCAGCATCCCTGGATCTTACAGACGCACCTCCAGAAATGTAATATATCTCATCCAATGCCCAAATGGCCTGATGGAAAATATGTAGGAGAGAGCAAACAACAACTGCGCACCAGAATGGATGCACACCGGAAATCTATCAAAGACAGAAATACCCAATTACCGGTGGAGGAACATTTCTCACAGGAGGGCCACTCTCTCTCCAATCTCTCAGTCCTGATCCTCAAGGGAAACTTACACAACACTTCCCAGAGACGAGCCTATGAACTCCATTTCATCAACCTCCTGGGTACTAGAGATCATGGACTAAACATAGACATTGGATTTTTGATACATTATAATCTGCCTGGCAACTGACTCCCCAGCCCAGCCCCTGGCTTCTTTACTTGTCATTCTATCCAGGAAGAGCACACACCAACTGCCGAAACTTCCTTAGCCTGACAAAGGGTTTTTGAACTCGAAAGCTTGCTTAATAACTATTCTCCAACTATTTGGGTTGGTCTAATAAAAGACATCAAATTCACCCAAGGAACCTTGTCTTGCTGAAGTCAAGGTATATTACATCTACTTCTTTCCCCACTTCTACAGAGCCAGTTATATCAACAGAGAAGGCAATCAGGTTGGTCAGGCAGGACTTACCTTTGGTGAATACTTTCTACTTGATGACCAACTGGGATATTGTAGGTGCCAGTAAAGAATCCCTTTTGAGTAAATGGAAGACCTTGCTAAATAGTGCTTTGCTGTTAGCTTTTCAATAGAGGAGTTGAGGAGGGGGAACAACTATCCAATGAATATAGTCAAACTGCGTATGTTGAGGTGAATGTCTTAAAACTCAAATATGGGAGAAGCAAGAAGGTTATATCCTATACAAAAAGCACATTTCTTCAATTAAACAAAGAAAAGTATAATTAGAATAAATGTGTTCTCTGAACTTAAATTCATATCAGTATATACCAAAAAGGAACAATACCAAATGCAAAAGAAAGTATCATCATAAGTAAACTAACATGGAATTAACCTAACTGCATCTGATGGTTAAAATGGAATTCTAGAATGTCAAAGTAGGGTTGGAGTGTTGTTGTAGCTATAGTGGTCCAGGAAATGTCTGAGGGATAAGTATTTTTGGTGGTAACTTTATTAGACCAGCTATATTGAACTAACCTGAGGAAGGGCACTTACTTAATGCCTGAAAAACTGTCCATCCAACAGCTCTCCCAACTATATGCTTGGTCCAATGAAAGATAAAGCAGAAAATTCTTACATTTGATACTATATTTCTTTTGAATAACCTTAAGTTTCCTAATGAAAAAGTATTCTAACTATAGCATGCAGTATAGACCTGTATATTTTTTTTATGCCAGATAGGGAAAATATCTGTCAAGTTAATCAGGTAAAATATACGGAAATTCGCAATATAGTCATTCTAACACATCAAAATAACCATGAGGAAGCTATATTCATGCCACCCCCATTCTAAATATCAACAACTATTAATTAGACTTCAGTTGTTTGATCCTGTTATTAACTGGTGTAATAACATGCAACTTCAGTTAAGACTGGCTTTGGTTTATTACTGATGAAAGTGAAAGTTTACTGTTCATCCTCAAATTACCATGCATACTAATATCTGTGTATATAAAAATGTCCAATTTAATTAAATTAATCTGAGACGTCTCTTTTGCTCAAGATTTATTTTGTTTGTTTGTTTTAATCCTGAAGGTAATTGTTTGAAGTGGGGGACATATCCTACCCTATGACCATCCTGAAAGATCACTGGACATGATTGACAGATTTATCTCTGGGAAAGGATGGAAGAAAAATGAACACTAAGATGTACTTATAAAGTAATATAAACAAGCTCTCTTTTCAAGTGGCTCACAAAAGATCTGAATGTTCCACAGCGAGAATTCTGTCATATGGGATGTTCACAGAAGTGAAGATATAATGAAGTGGGTAAAAATGTTCCTTGAGCTTTTGTTTATCCTGTATTCCTAAAACTGAGTGTTGGTAAAATGTTAAGAGAATACAGCTTTCTAAATTTGCCTACATTTTCTTTCTTTTAGAAGACTACATAAAATTGGGAAAAATCATCACCAATTGAATTCTTCTGAAATGAGGCAATTAAAATATAGTCTATTAAAGCCAAAAGATAATAGAATATTTCATAAAACCTCGAGTGTGTACATATAGGTAGCCATAGATACTAGTTACATGCTTTCAGTACGTAACCAAGTCACCTACCTTCCTGACGCATGTAAATCTGCTACCAAGTCTAACCTTTTAAATTTTAATTCATGGCTTTATTTATCATTAGTGACCTACCTGCTACTTTTGTTCATGTCAAGAAAAGCTTTCTGATAATTTTCTTGTTCTGTATGGAAAGGAACAAACATTCACACTGCTGTTTGTATATTTGAGATACAGAAGTTCACAAGTCAAGGCTCAACTATTTCATGTGATAAGACTATTAGCCTAGCTCAGCAAAAACTAGTTTTACTTGATTCTCCAGGTGTGAAATGGCTTGCACTCTCTACTTTTATATTTCTTAGGCTAGGAGCAGATATTGCATGTTCTGGGAACAGTTGTGCCCAAGTGTCCTGGAATGGAAAAAATCATGGGTTTGACAGATAAACATATTGCCCTTTCAGCTGGGGAGAGTGCCTGAATGCACAGCCACTTTTCTGTCCTTGATCCAATGATGCAATCCTGGGACAACCATTTAGATGCAATTCATGATGACCTGGGACAAACTGTTATCACTTCTTATCCCATAACCCTTTTCAGAGGTTGTCCCAGGAAAGTGGACAATCTGAATGATTGCGCATGGTTTTAGGAAAAAATGGTTCCTACTGGGAGAAATGTAATGTCTGTTTGCAACCAAAGATGGAAAAGCAGACTGATATGGCCAAGTGCAAATTTCCCTGGGCAATGAAGTTTTCAGCTGATGCAGAACTGGTATACTAGACCTATATGCCACCTCCTCCATTTGACCCTGGGTAAAGGACAAAAAATTAGGGATAAGTTGTAGCATGCAACTAACCTACAGTAACATAGTAATCCTTGGCCAGATTAGGGATGTGAAGTTACATTTCAGAGATGGTAAACGTATAAATTTCAGACCTTGCACGATCATCTAGTCCAGCCCCCCTGCACTAGGTGGGAAAGACAACTGGTATCAAGTGACCCCAGCAAGGTTACCGTCCAATCTCCTCTTGAAGATTTCCAGGGTAGGTGATTGGCACCACCTCTGGAGTGAAATTATTCCACAGTCTGGACACCCTAACTGTGAAGAAATTTTTCCTAGCGTTAAGCCTGAGACAGTCTTCTAGGAGTCTGTGGCCATTACTCCTGGTTTTTCCCAAGGGTGCCCTGGTGAACAGTTGTTCACCAAGCCTTTGATATATTCCCTTGATATAGTTGTAAGGTGCTACCCAGTCCCCTCTCAGCCTTCTCTTTTTTAGGCTGAAGAGACCCAAGTCCCTCAGCCTTTCCTTGTATGGCTTGCCTTGCATGTCTCTGATCATATGGGTGACTCTTCTCTGGACTCTCTCAAGCTTTTTCACATCCTTGTTCAAGTGTGGCACCCAGAACTGGATGCAGTACTCCAGTGGCAGTCCCATCAATGCTGAGTAAAGCGGAAGAATCACTTCCTTGGTTTTGCTCGAGATGCATCCATTGATGCATGCCAGAGTACGGTTTGCCTTGCTGGTTACAGCATCGCACTTATGGCTCATGTTCATACTATGGTCTATTATTACCCCAGGTCCCTTTTAGTTGTGGTGCTAATCAATTTGGCGCCCCCAAACCTGTAAGTATGTTGGGGATTGTTTGTCCCCAGATGGAGCACTTTACACTTCTCAATGCTGAACTTCATCTAGTTTTGATCTGTCCAACTTGCCAGCCTGTCTAGGTCCACCTGTATCTGCAGCCTGTCTTCAAGTGTGACCACGCTCCCCCATAACTTGGTGTCGTCTGCAAACTTGGCCAGTGAGCTCTTCACCCCCACATCCAAATAACTGATAAAGATATTGAAAAGCACTGGACCAAGCATGGACCTCTGAGGGACACCACTGGCCACTTATTGCCAGGATGACACAGATCCTTCCATTAGAACTTTGTGTCCTATCCCACAGCCAACTTCCTACCCACCTAACTGTTGAGCAGTTAAGCCTGCAACCTTCCAACTTGCCCATGAGAAGAACACCATGGGATACCAGATCAAAGGCCTTTTGGAAGTCTAGGTATACAATGTCGATCTCCTCTCTCTTATCTAGGTGGCAAGTTACCTGGTCATAGAAGGACATGAGATTGGTAAAACAAGATGTGACCGCGATGAAGCTATGCTGGCTGTCATTCAGAATCCTACCTTCTGCAAGTGTATCGCACATAGACTCTGATGAATTTTTCCAGGATTTTCCCTGGGATAAAAGTTAAGCTAATTGGCCTATAGTTGCCTGGGTCCTCTCTCCTCCCCTTCTTGAAGATGGGCACAACTCTGGCCCTCTTTCAGTCTTCAAGAACCTCCCCCAAGCACCACGAGTTTTGGAAAAGTTTTGCCAGAGATCCAGTGATGACTTTGGCCAGCCCCTTCAGCACTCTTGGACGAAATTCATCTGGTCCTACTGACTTATAAATGTCTAATTTTTCTAACGGATCATGCACCAGCTCAACGTCAACAGTAGGAAGGCGGTCATTCCCACCATGCCCATTCTGAACTTTTTCTAGTATGATTTTGCCCATAGTCTGGTGAAATACCGAAGCAAAGTAGTCATTCAGGAGTTCAGTTTTCTCCTGAGTGTCAGTAACCAGCTGTCCTGAGTTGTTAAGCAATGGCCCTACACTTCCATTTGTTTTCCTCCTGTTCCCTACATATCTCAAGAAGGACTTATTGTCCTTGATTTCTGTTGCTAGTTTAAATTCAGTCGTCACCTTAGCCTTTCTAATCTGCTCCCTACAAGAGTGGGCCAATGCTGTACAGTCCTCCCTGGGGACTTTCCCAAGCTTCCATTGTTTGTATGCCTGTTTCTTCTCTCAAGGGGACCATGATATCCCTATTAAGCCAAGATTTCTTACCAGCCCTTCTGCTACCTTTCCTCCACATGGGAATGGACTTATTTTGTGCTTCAAGGATAGGGTCCTTGAAGAACAACTACTCTTCATGCACTCCTTTCACCTTTGGTCCCTGATCCTGCAGCGCTTCCCCTACCGTAGCCCTAAGCCTGTTGAAATTCGCTTTTCTAAGTCCAAAAGTTCAACCCTGCTAGCTGATTTGCCTGCCTTGTGATGGACAGTGAGCGCGATGGTTTTGTGGTTGCCGTCACCCAGGCTACCCTCTATACTCAAGTCGTTCATCAGATTGTCTCCTTTGGCCAAGACCAAGTCTAGAAGAGCGTTACCTCTGGTTGGCCCACACACATCCCAAGTCAGGTAGAGCTATTTGATACAGGTCACGAAGCAATTCAACCGATCCAACTTAGCCAAGTGTTCCTCCCAAGAGATGTCTGGGTAATTGAAGTCACCCATGACGACCATTTTCCATGTGCACGCGGCCTCTGTCAATTCTCAAGAAAACTCCAGATTGAGGTCCTCCCTCTGGTTTGGTGATGTATAGTATACACCTACAGTACAGTTAGGTCTCTCTCACCATGCCCCCCCCCCCCCCCCCCCCCCATAGTCTGACCCAGATGGTTTTGAGCCACTCTTCTTTGGAGATGATGTTGGCCTCCAAGAAGGTGTACTGCTCCCTCAGAGCTACACCTCCACCTTTCTTCCCTACTCGGTCCCTTCTGTGCAGGGTGTAGCCCTCTATGGCTACGTTCCAATCATGTGATGAGTCCCACCAGGTCTCCATAATCCCCACTAGATTGTAATGCCCTCTGAAGAATAGGAGGGATAGCTCCTCCTGCTTGTTTCCCATGCTCCTGGCATTAGTGTACAAGCACTTGAGTCCTCCAGTTGAGACCCTCGATTTCCTGTCAAGTTGAGGGAGAACCATTTTCTCAGTTCCTGCAAGAGTGGCTCCAACTTCAGAGCTTTCTTGCGTGCCAGTCCTCAGGCATGCTCCAGTCAGTGCTTCCCCATCCCCCAGCAATCTTAGTTTAAAGCCCTATCTAGAAGATTGGCCATCCTGGTTGAGAACAAGGACTTACCCCTCTGCATGAGGTGGATGCTGTCCCTTCCCAGGAGTCCTCTCTCCCTGAAGTGTGGGCTGTGGTTGAAGAAACCAAAGCTCTCTTGGCAGCACCACTGCTGGAGTCGTCGGTTCACTTTTGATGCATCCCTCCCTCCTAGTCCATGGCCCGCAACCAGGATCACAGAAAAAAAAGACTACCTGCACCCCCAGCCCCTTGAGCCCAGCCCCCAGAACCTATAGTCACTCATGACCTAGTCCAGATTAGTTCTGGCCGTGTCATTTACGCCCACATAGATGAGGAGCATGAGGTAGTGGTCAGAAAGACAGACGAGCCTAGGAAACCTCTCTGTAACCTCCTGGATGTGGGCCCCAAGGATGCACCAGACCTCATAGGCTAGGGCAGGGGTGAGCAATTATTTTGGGTGGAGGGCCGCTTACCCAGTTTTGGCAGGCTGTTGAGGGCCACATGGGTAGCCCCGCCCCTTGACAGGTGCCCCGCCCCTTGGTCACCATCTTGGGACGAACGTCCCAATGTCTCGGGACCAATGTGCCAAGCACCGGTGGGGCCCAGACCGACAAGGGTCTGTGGAGCTGGGCTGGGCTGCACCAGCAGGGAGCGGGAAGCTGGCTCGGCTCCATAGAGCCCCT